CTTGTGTATAAACTGTATATATGCATTGTGTACATAATAATCCATACTGGATACAGCAACATTGCATTCTGTAACATATGATTCATCACCTCATGTATATAAGTAACCTGTTTGTTAATGATCCATATTTGTTCGAGCATCTTTGCACTCTGCACCACTGCACTATTGTCCTCTGGTCACAATTCCACCATATCCGTATAATAGTTAAATGTTTATTGTCCACTCTTGCACATCTGGTTTTCCGTTGCACTACTGTATTGTACAGTTTAACTCTGCACATAGCAGTTATGCTTATCTTGCTAGACATTTTCTATAGTTTTGTAGTCTGTTGTTAATGGTGTGTCTGTGACAAATACACTGAGCGCAGTTACACCGGAGTCAAATTCCTAGTACATGTACACATACATTGCAAGTAAAGCCGATTCTGATCAACTTTCGGTGTGTTGCCTCGGCAAAAGTGTTTAACAACAATGCCCACATTCATAACCTATTATCAACCATGTCTAAATGGTCTTCAGACCAAATTTCAGCTGGATGTGGTCAACCTGCCAGCTGGAGGAGTGCAACACATTTCTCGTTGCCAGCACTATGGCTGTGATTGAATATTGGCATGCAGATGTGTTTAGGCTCAGATTTTTATCAAACTTTTTATCAAACCCTAACCCAGATTGAATTATGAACACTGAAGTTACAACAACTTCCTGATTCGCTGCAGAACACTGAAATTCAATGCCATGCCACGCACACGCCCTCTGACAAATCTTTTCATCATTCCTAAAGTGCTGCACTTTAGGGGGCGCTATTGAGTCAATTGTATACGCCCATGCATGAAAACCATTTGACAAATACATTTCTCAGACATCTGAATTTTGTGCAAGTTTCAGGAAAAGTTATTCACGCTTAATATGAGATTCATTATTTAAACTACTAAATACAAAACTGGAAAAACAATACAAAACAACTACACAGTGTGAATGTTTCTCTGGGTCAACATGTTGTCTCTTTGCACGTGTGAAACTGAAGTCATTGAACCTCAGTGGTAATCAATAATCATTGAACCTGTTGTATCAGTGGAAGTGACACACCTGAACAGGCGAGAAGTTTCTGTCACATGGAGACACGTCTTTTGTGTGTGTTAATAAGCTTGGTAATCTTTCTGGACTTTCACCTTAAACACTAACACCCCCCCTCCCCCTCTCTGTGTGTCTTTCCAGATTTCGATGCTCGGACGTCCAGGAGTTAAACAGCAGCAGGTGAAATGGAAACCGATCAGAAGGTAAACTGATTACTAATTATTATTTTTTCTGCTAATTTCTACTCATTGGTGAAATGTACGGCAGGTTACTGTTTCACACCTGCGGTCACTAAGGGGAGACTCTGGTCCAGGGCCCCAGATCATGGGCCATAAAAACCTGGTTCACAGAAATAGGCTAATGTTCAATGTCCAGGAACTTCTTGTTCGTCCAGACTAAAAGTTTAAAACTTAAATTAAACTGCAGCAAAAATTCACACAGCTTTTGTCTGAGTCAGGTGAAGGAGATGGAACCAGAAGTGTTTCATATCTGAGGTAGGACTAGGAGCAGGACTGTGTGGGAAATCCTGCTGTTGGAAGTTTTTTATGGGGATGGATGAAGTGTTTATTGTCAGTACAGACCAGAAACAGAAAATTAAAGCTCAGGTTGGTAAAGCTGCAAAAGATACAGAACAGGCAAGACTTTGAATGAAATCATTCATCCCACCCCTTCGGTTGGCCCTCCCATCAAAGCCACGCCCCCGAATCACATGGCCGTGCATTGAAACCTTAATTGTGACTCGCTAAATTCTTACCATCATCCTGCTTCTGTGGTGTTTGTCTTTCTGCCTGAGGATTCCAGTCATGGGTTCAATTCCGGACGGATAAAAATAAGATAAAAAGTGATAAAAAGAAACAAATACCAACCTGATCTTTCACACATCAACAGTTGAATTGTCCCTGCAAACCTCTCACTGCTAAAATTTATTGGGGGGGTGCAGTGTTGGGGGGACAAACAAACTGAAGCCAGACTCAACAAAAACAACACAACACACAATATGTCCTGTGACCTGCACCGAGCTGCTGAGCAGCGCTTAGCCTACCGCAAAAATGTTGAGCTCCTCTGCATCAGCCACAGTGAACAGGTAACACGTGAAGTACATGTAGACAGTCTGTGGTACTGTGAGTACTTTGCTCCTAAGGGTCAGGTTGGTTCTGTTGAAGCTCCAGCAGCTGACAAAGGTTCATCCTCTGAGGAGAATCTAGATCTTTCAGAAACTCCTCACAGGATCTCAAAGGATCTTGTGGGTCTCTGAAGACCCTGGTCCTCCTCAGAGACTGGAACGATCCACACCAGCTCCACGATAAGAACATGATGTCATGGTTCAAAGGAAGGGAATGGTCAGTGGGTGGAGCTTTACACTGTTTGATCTCTTATCTCTGATTTAACCTGGAGCAGGTCAGCTGTTCAGCATAAGTTACCATGGTGATTTACCCCGTTAACATGGGAACAAGCTTCGTAGGACTAAAACTCTCTGGGGAGTGCAGGTGTGTCCAACTGTGTTTATGTATCAGGTACTTCTGTTTAAAAACTATAACCAAATATTTTAAATGACATATTTGTAATAAGAGGTGTGTGTCCATCTGTCCAATCAGAGTTGTGATCACATGGCAGAAAGTCAGAGTCAGACATTCAACAGGATCAACAAGCCAATGAGAGAAGACAGAAAAATGATGCAGCCAGAAGGAACAAAGAATGTGACAGACATGATTTACACCATCGAGGACGTTCCACCTTGGTACCTGTGCATTTTACTGGGACTCCAGGTAAGACTGGGATCAAACAATGAACAATGACAGTGAGTTGTTGATGATGTCACCTGACCTCTGCTCTAATCTGTCTTCAGCATTACCTGACATGTTTCAGCGGCACAGTGGCAGTTCCGTTTCTCCTGGCAGAGGCCATGTGTGTCGGTAAAGACCAGAACACCATCAGTCAGCTGATTGGAACCATTTTCACCACAGTCGGAATCACGACCCTGATCCAGACCACAATGGGAGTTAGGTGAGTCATTGCAAATCAGAGTAAGTCGGGTGAGTCAGAGTGTCACAGTGTGTATGTGTGTGTGTAGACTTCCTCTGTTTCAGGCCAGTGCGTTTGCTTTCCTGATTCCTGCTCAGGGGATCCTCAGTCTGGATCGCTGGAAGTGTCCCAGTGATGGTGAGACACGTTCTCTACCTGCCTGTCTCTCTAATTCAATTCAGTTTTATTTGTATAGCATCAAATCATAATAATAATAATAATAATAATAATAATAATAATAATGGCTTACATTTATATAGAAAAGAAAAAGTAATAATACAAAACAGGATAGAATTTAGCTGCAGGAGCAGCTCTGACGACCGTAAGAAAAAACTATTTTAGTGGAAGAAAGAACCAGTCAGTGTGGTCCACCAGTTGGTGAAAGGAGAAGAGTGGGATGAGAAAAGAGAAAGAGAGAGAGAGTATGGGGTGAAAAAACACAAAGTAAGTGTAGCAGTAAAATAAATAAATGAATGTGGGGGCAGAGAGAAGGAGAGATGTGCTCAGTGCATGATGGGAATTCTCCCTCAGAACTAACCTAATCCAGAACTATAGGAGTTTAATCTTAAATGTAGAGATGGTGTCTGACTCTAGAACCCAGAGTGGGAGCTGGTTCCACAGGACAGGATCCTGGTAGCTGAAGGTTCTACCTCCTGTTCTACTCTCACAGACTCTAGAACCACAGGAGAACCTGTGTTTTGGGAGTGAACTGATCTATCTGGATAGTATGGTGTTATCAGCTCTTTGACATATGAAGTGTTTGATTGTTCAGGGTTTTAAATGTAAGGAGCAGGATCTTGATATTCTGAAATTTACAGGGAGCCGATGTAGAGAAGCTAAGACAGGAGTAATATCATAACTTCCAATAATAATAACAATCATAATAATGATCATTTTGTTTTAATTATTACAGAGGAGATTTATGGGAACTGGAGCCTTCCACTGAAAACTGAACACATTTGGCAACCGCGCATTAGAGAGGTACATGATGACATCACTTCTACACAGAGGTAGGGCAGGGTGGGGTCGTCTTCAGAGGGCCAAGGATCATGTGATCAAGTGTATTTCCTGTGTTAGATCCAGGGGGCGATCATCGTGTCCAGTGTACTGGAGCTTGTCATTGGTCTCTGTGGGTTGCCGGGCTTACTGCTGGAATTCATTGGTCCTCTCACCATCACACCAACTGTCTCACTGATCGGCCTGTCCGTCTTTACCACAGCTGGAGACAGAGCTGGTTCTCACTGGGGCCTGTCAGCGCTGTGAGACACATGTCTGTCTGTCTCTCTCTCTCTGTCTGTCTGTCCACCTCTCTCTCCACTTGTCTGCCTGTCTGACAGGAACCTGTCTCTCTGTCTCAGGTGCATTTTGCTCATCGTGTTGTTTGCTCAGTACTTGAGAACGACATCACTTCCTGTTCCTGTTTACAGCCGTAAGAAAGGTCTCACATCAACGCGAGTCCAGATCTTCAAGATGTTTCCTGTAAATAACACACATACACATGCGCACACACACACACACACACACAGAGGTATCGCAGGTCATTCCTTCCTGCTGCAGAAAGACTGTACAACGAGCTCTGCTCCCAATAAAACTACATGCACCACCATTATGGACTGTACCTTAACACTTTATTACTTAAACTGTGCTGTCTGTTGGTGCACCATCAACAGTTCATGTGCAATCCTTTCACTGTGTATCCTCACTCTGCATATATTCTTTCTTTACACTGTATATACTGGTTTAATTATATTCACATGTTTCTTAATTTATTTATATTCCTTCCACTTAAGTCCTGCATGTTACTTATTACTTGCTGACTCTTGCTGCTATAATACTGCAAATTTCAACATTGTGGGACTAATAAAGGATTATTTTATTTTATCTTAACTTTTATACATTATGATTGATACACACCACACACACATTACTTCCCCTCATAGTAAAATGATGATTAAGACAACAATATGAACAAATAGATTAACTTTATTACATCTCATTTAATGACTTGATATCAGTAAAGATGATTCAATAAGTTTAATTGATCATAGTCAAGTGATAATAAATCATGAACCCTAGAAACAGTGTGTTGTCAGTGTAAACATTGACCCTGATGTTGCTTCACTCTTTTTATTCTTCTTCAGTAAATCTTCAATGTGGTTCCTGCTCATGTTGTGATGAATTAAGTTTAATAGTCTGTGTGTTACCTGTTCACTTCTGATCACGTCTGTCAGTTGAAGTTTTCATGTGTTTTCTTTCAGATTATTCTCGCCATCATGTTGGTCTGGCTCGTCTGTTACATTCTCACTCTGACCGACCTGTTACCAAGTGATCCTGATCAGTACGGACACAAAGCTCGGACAGACGCCCGTGGAAACATCATGACCTCATCCCCCTGGTTCCGGGTACCCTATCCCTGTGAGTCAACCAATCACAGGCCTCAAAACTTTCACTGCGTTTTCAGAAATGGTGGAGGTTATTAAAGGTCATTTAATTCCTGAGTCAGAGTCAGATGATGGTGATGAAGATGGTGATGATGATG